TTTTTTTGGTTGCAGCCGTCATTGTTGTTTGGCGGGTCCGGGCTGGGGATTCGAACCCGCCACCTTAGGTGTACGTGGCTGACGCCTTAGCCGGTTGAGCTATAGGCGCCGAGCCCTGCCACGGGTTCTTAAATGCAAAATACTGAAACCAACTCTGGTTAACTTCATCAGAGAGGAAATTGTGGAAAGGATATCAGTGCCTCATAGAATTCACAAGAGATCTGGAGAATAGGCTCAGATGAAAGGCCAAATCAAGGGAAGCCAGGCCTTCTGAGAACCAGCTACTTGATGCCAGAAGAAACCCAATTTGGATGCTATAACTTCAGACACTATGTTGTGCCAAAGGACAACAGCGCTGCAGTCCTGCTACCCCTTGGAAATCCCTAAGTCTCCACGTCTCTGTGTTCCTCTGTCAAGTTCAGAGTCCTGCTGGGGAGTTGTTCATCAGCCATCCTGGGTCAGTGGTTTGACCCCCCACTTCCAGGGTGTCTGTAGATAGAGGAATTTCTGTCTTTCTTTCTTTCTTTCTTTTTTAGTGGGCCCTGGCCAGGTTTGAACCGACCAGCTCTAACCACTGAGCTTTGTGACCAGTGCTGTAACCACTGATCTATGGGCGCTGAGCCTAGATAGGGGAACCTAACCTTAAGTTTCCAAAGTGGGACTCCTTCAGATAGGTAGGCATTTAGATGCTAGGCTGCAAAAAGAGGAACAAATAACCAGTCTAATTCAGGACACCCAGCATTAGCCTTCAGTGGGCCTTTGTGATATAAAACAGTAGTATTGACTTAGGGCTTTCTTATCACATGTTAGCACTCTGGAGAAGAGAAGGGAAATTTATTTATTTATTAAATTATCTTATTTATTTATTTATTAGACAGAATTTCATTTTGTCACCCTTGGTAGAATGCTGCGGCACCACAGCTCACAGCAACCTCAAACTCTTGGGCTCAGCCAGATGTGGTAGCTCATACCTATAATCTTAGCACTTTGGGAGGCTAAGGCAGGTGGATTGCTTGAGCTCATGAGTTCAAGACTAACCTGAGCAAGAGTGAGATTCATCTCTATTAAAAATGAAAAAACTAACCAGTGTCATGGTAGGCATCTGTAGTCTCAGGTACTCCTGAGGCTGAGGCAAGAGGATCTCTTGCATCCAGGAGACAGGTTGGTGTGAGCTATAATGATGCCAGAGCACTCTAGCCTTGGGCAACAGAGTACGACCCCTCTCAAAGAAAAAAACTCTTGGCCTCTGGCAATCCTCTTGCCTCAGCTTCCCAAGTAGCTGGGGACTACAGGTGCCTGCCACAATGCCTGATATTTTTAGAGATGGGGTCTCACTCTTGCTCAGGCTGGTTTGAACTCCTGAGCTCAAGCAATCCACCTGCCTTGGCCTCGCAGAGTACTAGGATTACACAGATGAGCCACTGTACCTAGCCTTGGGAAATTTGTTTTACCTAAATTCCTTCTGCAAGTCATCAGTCTTACCTAACTAACTGAGGGACTTCAGGTAACACCCTCATTATGGTCGGGTGGCTCCTGTGGCTCAAGGATAGGGCGCCGGCCCCATATGGTAGAGGTAATGGGTTCCAATGCAGCCCCAGCCAAAAACTGCCAAAAAAAAAATTATTATGCTGAGAACCCTGATTCCTGATTCCCTTCTCAAAATAAGAGCTAGAATTTTCCATTGAATGTGGGGTACATGAGAACCAAACTCCTTCAGAGGAGAGACACCATCTCTCAAGTGAGTCACCTTATTGAGGTGACTTATTGAGCTATTCACAATGAGAGTAACTCCTTATCCAAAAGAAAAATATGTATTCTTAGCTACCCTCTATGCTTCATAGGATTGGAATGGGAGAATTAAATGAGTTAATTCAACCAAAACATGTAAATTAGTACCTGGCAAAACTTTGGAGGTAGAGAACATCAAAATCTTGTTTCCACTCCCCTTCTGACCTACTGAATGGGAATCTGCATTTTAACATGATCCCCAGGTGATTTACCTGCATACTAAATTTTGAGAAGCCCTAGCATAGACCACATAGAGTGGACATTTGTCATACTATATGGACATCCAACATTTTCTGAACACTCATCTTTTGAGTGGGGAATTGCTCATATTTCATTATTGCCTCTAAGAGGTGGAGGCCAGAGCTTTTCCAATTCTCTTGTAGCTTGGGCATAGGCATTTGAGCTGGACTTCATCTCTCAGGCACAGGCTGTAGTTAAGAGGCATACAGCCTCTTACAGTGGAAAACGGAACACAGCGTGGCATCTATGTTTGACAAGGTAGCCTTAGAGGCATCTGATTTGGGTGGCTAACATTAAGGGAGGTTCTTGTATTCAGTGCTCAGTCAAGGATGCCAGCTATAGTGGCACCGGCAGTGACGTGTTCCCTGAGCAGTCTCTCAGTGAGGTTTAGACACTATTTCTGGCTGTGTAGGTGTAAAGCCTGATTCTTTGGTCATCTTGAGAGTCTGTGAACTACTAAATATTCTTCAATCCTGTGGTGTATGGGAGGGTCACTATTAGCTACAGGTATTGGCTAGAGGTAGCTACTTAAGTTTAAATTAATTAAAATAAACTAAGCCGCATTTCAAGTGCTTAATAGTCACATGAACCCAGTGGGACAGGCCAGGTATGGAACATTTTGAACATCACAGAAGTTCTATTGGACAGAGCTGGTTTTTTTTTTTTTTTCTGTGCAATATCAAATTTAATTCTTTTTCTTTTTTTCTTCTTTCTTTTTTTTTTTTATTAAATCATAGCTGTGTACGTTAATGCAGTCATGGGGTACAATGTGCTGGTTTTATATACAACTTGAAATATTTTCATCAAACTGGTTAACATAGCCTTTAGACAGAGCTGTTTTAATTAATTTTATTTACTACTTAAACTGATCAAAACTAGTTCTGTTGTTTCAACTAAGAAATCAAACTACTTTTTTTTTTT